CAATTCCCTGGGCAGCCAGAATCAGGGCAGAGACTTCCTATGGATGATTTCTCTGTTATCATAGGGTAACACTTCTTTCCTTCCTTGCCATGATCTCCTCTCTTCGGTTTTATTTTCACTAGACTTTGGGAGGTTTTTTTTGTAATTTAGCCCCCTAAGCCTCAAAGTGTGGTCCTGGGACCAGCATCACCTGAGAGTGTGTAGAAGTGAAGCATCCAGTTGGGTACAGTGGCTCAGGTCCATAATCCCAGCACTTTGGGAGGCGGAGGTGAGAGGATTGCCTGAGTCTACAAGTTCAAGACCAACCTGGACAATATGGTGAGACTTTGGGTCTTTTCAATCAATAAAAAACAAATTAGCCAGGTATGGTGGCATACTCCTGTAGTTCCAGCTACTTGGAAGGCTGAGGCAGAAGGATCACCTGAGCCCAGCAGGTTGAGGCTGTGGTAGCCGTCAGCGTGCCACTGCACTCCAGCCAGGGCAACAGAGTGAGATTCTGATTCAAAAAAAAAAAAAAGAAAAAGAAAAGAAATGCAGAATCCCAGGCCCCACCTAGACCTGCTGAATCAGAGTCTGTATTTTAACAAGACCCAAGGGACTCATATTCACGTTAGGGCCTTAGGAGCACTGCTGGGATCCTGAAATGCTTTGGGACAGGTAGAAAAGGTGCAGGAAATAAGACTATGATGCCTCTTTTCTAGCCCTGATTGCCCTCCCAAAGGCCTCCCCTGCAGCCCTGCCCCACCCTCCCAGCCCCACCCCTTCCAGCAAGCCCTTGCTCTGATTTTGTCCTTGGCTCTACCCTCTGGCAGGGTCAAGTCACTAAGGTCTGTGTTGTCTGCTAGGATGAGGCTGATGGCGGGCTTGTGTCCTAGGTTGGGCCCTTCCAGGGGTGGGCTGCTCCTTCGTGGACCAAAGTGACCCTCCTGGTGAGTGGGTGAGTGGGGACGTCGCCAAAGCCTAGGTCCAGGTCTTGCCTGCTACTGGGATGGGTCTGCCTGAGGAATGGCAGCCCTGGGCGTGGGTCTTTCTTCCAGGCTTCTGCTCCTAAAAGCAGTCACTGGGAGGAGGGTATGGAATACATGTGGTCTGGCCCGCAGGACAGGACTGTGCTCCTGGAAGCCACATGGGAACAGCGGCCACCGGAGCTGTCCCATGATGGGACCAGCTGCCTGAGAAAATAACGAGCCCCCCTCCCCCCAGGGGAGTACCCACCTATGGGTTCATGGCCCTCCAGCAGGGATTTCTTAAGAGGAGTCCTTGGTCTGGTAGTGTCTGATTTTAGGCAGCCTTTGTGATCCCTTCAGATCCCAAGGTTCTGTGATTCAAAGTACTGCCTCCTCCAGAAAGGCTTCTGTGACTTCTCTTACCCTCACCGATCAGCTTCTTCCCACCACAACTTGTGTTTGTGAGTCTGGGCCCCCCAGCAGCCTGGGAACCAAGGACCTGAGTCTCCTCAAACCACCGGTCTCAGACTGATGGGTAGGGGTGGATGGGAAATGAGGACAGGTATGGGATACAGGCCTGGCAGGTTTCTCTCTCCTCGCTGGCTCCGAACATGGCCACTTCCTGGACCTCTGATTCACCAACACGGAGGCATGGGAGAGGGCCTCTCAGCCACCCCAGGCTGCTTCCAGTGCTGCAGTTATCCTTCATGTTCCTGAGCCCGCCCAGAGGCAGGATGGCTGTGAGGTGACCTGGGCTTCCCAAGTTCCAGACCCCATGGCCCCTTTGGCCCTGGATCTTCAAAGGTCCAAGTGATATCAGCTGGGAGTGGGGCGTATAGGGAGGAAGAAAGGATAGAATCCTGCCTCCCTAAGGCAGCAAGTCTCCTCTGGTCCACTGTATGCCCTCCTGGGTGATGATGCTCTGGTTCACCATGTATGACACTGGGCAAGTCACTTCAGCTGATGGCCTCAGGTCACCTTGGTGCAATGGGTCACAATGCCCTGAATGTGCTGCTGCCCTAATGTTTTATGCCCTGGTGCTGGGGGGGGGAGCTGGGGACTTGGCACGAGGACCTGTGGGCAGACCTTTAGAGCAGCGGCACAGAGCCGGAGGTATGTGCAGGAGTAGCGTGTGCTGAGCGTGGCTGCTGGTGTGGGGCCCTGGGGAGCCAGGGCCTGGCTAGGCACAGGGGCCCAGGGCAGGGGACCATGTCATCATTTTCTCATTAGGTGAGACAGCGATCTGCCTGTGTGAGATGATCTTGTTGGCCCCGTGGGCTCCAGGAATGTTGGCTTCATATGAATAGACTTTCCAGACGGACCACAGAGTGAGGGGGCTCCAGGTGGGTGGTGGGGAGGGCAAGCCCTGCCCACCCTTCCTTCCACCCTCCTGGGCCTCACTCTACCGCCCCTGCCCATAACATCCCAGGAAGTGAAAGAGTGAGAGGGTGGTCCCACAGGTGGCCCTGCCCCAGCCCTTCTTCAGGGGGGGCCAGCACACCTCTCCTGATCAGCCTGTGGGCTGGCAGTGGGCCCCCTTAGCCCTGAAAGCCTCCCCAGCCGCCCTGCACACTGAGCCTGCTCCCCACTGGCTGCCAGGCCCAGTCCCTGCCCCCTCTGAGGGTGTGGGGTACCATCTGGAGATAAAGAGGAAAACACGTGGTGCAGTAGAGGGTCTCTAAGACAGGGACCATGAAACAGTGCAGTCACAGAGATGCCCCCGCACCTCTCCCCCACTGTGAAGCTCAGCTTGTGGAGAAGGGCTGAGATGAGGGGGGTCCCTGGATGAGGAGCAGCATGGGGGATAATAGCTGTGAGCACTTGGGGGTGGCAGTGGGGCCTGGAGAGACAAAGCTCAGGGCTCCAGGCAGCGGAGGCTGCGTGGTGTACCCAGCAGAGGGTTGCAGAGGTGGTGGGAGCTGGTGACCACAGTGTGTCTTTTTTTTTTTTTTAAGTTGGAGTCTCACTCTTGTTGCCCAGGCTGGAGTGCAGTGGCACACTCATGGCCACCACAGCCTTGACCTGCTGGGCTCAGGTGATCCTGCCGCCTCAGCCTTTCAAGTAGTGGGAACTACAGACACACGCCATCATGCCTGGCTAGTATTTTTTTGTGTGTGATTTATTGTAGAGATAAGGTCTCATAAAGTTGCCCAGGCTGGTCTCCAACCCCTGGGCTTAGGAAATCCTCTCGCCCATTGCGCCCGGCCCACAGTGTGTCTTAATCTGTGTGTGTGGGTAGAGACATGTACATGTGTGGGTACATATGGTCATGCAACACACGTGTGTTGCATTGCGTGTGTATGTGTCCGTGTGTGCACACAAATGTGTTGTCCATGCATGTGCATGCATGTTTGTACTCACAATGTATATTTGAGCACACATATTTATATGTATGTACACATTTGCAAAACACCTGTGCGTTGTGTGCCTATGAACATGTTTGCAAGCTTGGTGGTGTGTGTGTGTACATGCAGCCCATGCACTGTCGGGAAGAAGGGACAATGAGGTCCATGTTGTGGTCCAGGTAGAGGTGTGACAAAGCAGGGCAGGCAAGAGGGACTGAGGACCCATTGTGAGGGAGGAGCTGGTCAGGGAGTAGCGGAAGCGTGCCCATCTCTAGCCCCGCCCTGTGCATGGCTATCTGGCATGGGTGGCAGTGTGTCAGGGCCACATTATGACTTTTGTGGGCCTGGGTTCTTTTGCCTTCCTGGCCCCTTCCTCTAATCATAAGGGTGTTAGAAATAAGATATGACAGCCGTATGAGCGTGAAGATGAATACACCAGTGCTGGTGGCGAGTGCATGGGGACAACCTGGGGACAGTCCGAGCACAGTCAAGCAGGAATCCCACCAAAGCATCGAAGCAGTTCCTCCGTCAAGCCTGTGAGGGAACATGGGACTGTCCCTGGGCAGGCATTTGCCTCACCAACTGGAGCTCGCTCGGCTTTGCCTGCTGGGAATGCCGAGATGCTAGGCAGGCTTTGGCCTTTGATAAGCTGGCTTGTCCCAGCAGCAGGACCAGAGGACACAAGGCCCCAGAAGGTATGACTGGTACAAGAGGTAGGAGAACATTGTCAGAGAAGCCGTGAGAAGTGGCAGAGGCAGCAGGAGCCGATAAGACGGTGGGACCCATGCCAGGGGCCAGACGGCATGGGAGCTCCAGGAGAGGGAGAAATGACCTGAGGGCCTGGAGTCCCTGCCTGCTGGCCTCACTGCGAGCACCTGGACAGTCTCTGTAGGGACACTGGACAGGGTGAGGGGCGAATAGGAGCTGGAGCAGGGGCAGGAGAGCAGATGGATGGTCTAGAGCCATGACGACGACTCTTTAGGGACTGCAGCATTGGTGGAGAGGTTGACAAGCCTCCACCCTGGCTCAGGCCCTGCCCTGCTTGGAGACTTGAACATGTCAGTCCCTGGGGGTGGGGGTAGGGGCAGCCACTCCTGGGGATTCCTTCTAGCTGCTCAGGCCTCTTGGTTCTGAGTCCTTGCTGGAGTCTGAGGAGGAGTTGGTCTCTTGTCACCCAGAGAAGGGAGGAAGAGGAGGCTGGGTGTGGCTGGCAGACCAGGCAGGCAAGACAGGAGAAACTGACTCCACCCTGAAGCCCCTGGTGAGTCTCAGTTTCCCCATGCACAAAAGGAGGGCACCAGGTCCAGTGCTATCGGACCCCCTTCTCCTCATCTCAATGCTTTCTAATCCAACAGGGCCAAGCCAAGAGATGTTCAAGGGAGCCCAGGGCTGGAGATACCAAATGGGAAGTTTCAGGGGTGGCCTGGCCGGGAGAGGAGGAATCCAGTCCACAGAAGTGCTCAGAAACCGCTTACACACACATGACACTTCCTTCCAGGGCCCTGTCCTGCCCTGCCCTCTCCAAGGGCGTGGGCTGGCAGCCCGGCATAGGTGCCACCACCAGCTTTTTCTGCAAGCGAGGGATGCCTGCCCTCTGGGGCCAGTGGGGATTCCCCACTCGCAGGGCCGGGCTAGGGAAAATGTGATTGTATTCCTTCCTGGAGGCGTCTCTCCTGTCCCAGTGGAGTTGGGGTGCAGTGGGGTAGCCATGTCTCAGCCCAACTCCCAGATCCCTGCCCCTATCCCCAGATGTGGTACCTTGAGTCCTAGATGGGCTGATGGCAACTCTTTTCCATCTCTGTGGCTTATCATCTACAGCATCAAGCAGGGGCTGTTTCTGGAGAGCTGACAATAAAACCCCGCTTTCCCGAAATAGGTGTGACGTTTACCCTCACTCCCCACTCCATACCCCAGGCCAATAATCGAGTCCGGTACTCGGACCGCAGGGGCAGGGGTGAGGGTGGGGAGCAGCCTGGAGAGCAGAGGAGCCTGGGAGGCAGTCACCTAGAAAATTACTAAATTGTTCCGCCTCTGGTGAATCACTGGTGGCCCGCTAAATCCGGTTTTGATTTAAGAGAGATCGTGTGACGCCTAAATGTTCAGGAGTTATCTGTTAGACAGGAATTCGCCAGCTTTGAGAGGTGGGTGCCTGTCTTTTGGGGGATGGGACAGGCAGAGAGCAGATGCTTCTCGGATCAGCCCCTACCACGCCCAGCCCTGTCCTCAGCTCCGCTGGAGGACAGCGGGCCAGGGTGAGAGAGGCCTTGGTCTTTGCCCAGGTTTGCTGTGTGGAGTAGGGGTCAGCAGGGGCAGGTGCAGATGGGAAGGAGGGTGAGGGCGCCGTGGCAGGGGGAAGAATGTGGGTGCCAGCACCTGGGCATGGTGAGTCTGGCGCACAGGAGCCTGGCCTTTATCTGGAGCAGGGAGGGATGGTGAAGTTCTTGCAGGGTGGTGTGTGGACAGACTGTGGACCGGGAGGAGAAGTCTGGGCCAAAGAGGCCCTGGGGCAATCCTTTCTCTTTTCTGGGTGTCTGTGCACTGGGCCTGGGCCCCTCCTCTGTTTCCCCAGGTTCACAGGGGGCTTGTCTTGCCTCACGCAAAGGATGACTCCAGACTGGTGCCACATCAGGCCCATGCCTCCTGTGGGGACAGCCTGTCTGAGTGGCACAGGAGCCAGGGCCGACAGGTCAGATCAGGAGAGGGAGGAAGGCAGATGACCCGCGGAGGACGGTTTCAAGCAGGGCTGGGAGCTGCTGGTGGAGCTGGGGGCAATTCCTGGGAGGGGCATTTTCCGATTCCACCACCCCCTCTCCAGGACCCTCGGGGTCAGGGTCCTGTCTTCCTACCCTCCATCAGTGCTCTCTACTCCATTCAGAAAAGCCTGAGTGATTCTGGAAAATCATCCAAGCCGGGGGTGAGCTGATGGTGACTGGATGATCCGGGCCAGCCTCCTGTCCAAGTCCCCTCCCACTCCAAACGCCATCTTCCCAGTGGCCCTCCTGGAGGGAATGAAGTCATTGTTTCCCATCACCAGACCTGTGGGCGGGAGATCTCGCTGGGCCGGAGGGAGGGTCCATTCCCTCTCGGCCCCTCTGTGCTGCACTCAACAGAGCTCTGGCCAGCGACAGCCTCGGCCACACCCGAGGTCTGGCCCCTTAGCCAATATCCGAGGCCCTGTCCACGCACCTCCAGACAAAACCTGAGGGTCTCCCACTGGCTCCCTGTGGAGACCAGGCCAGATGGTCCTGGGAACAGCCAGCTCTGACTGGAACACTGGTCTCCTGGGCACATCAGGAATGAGGCACATCTGGAAAAGTACTTGCTAAGACTGCTGCTGTCGGCAGGGCCAGATAGTGCCCAGGCCTGAGTGACTTCAAGCTCCACCCAGGGCTCAGGAGCTGGGGGTGGGGACAGTCCCCCTTATTTAGCCTGGTGGCTCAGGCTAAAGAAGAGGCAGGGCCTGTGCCCTGTTCATGGGAGAGACTCGGGAGCCAAGTCAGGACTGGAGGAGATATGGAAAGGACACAGCCCCTGTCCCAGAGCCCAGGGCTAACTGGCCCCCAGGGGTGGCTCTGGCTGCCCTCTCCAATTCTTTGTGTGCCCACTCTGAGCCCAGGGATGCCTTCCCTCCCCTCCAGTAATGTGGAGAGGTTGGAAGCTGTCCCCTCACTCTCACTCTTCACTCCCACCCCTCACTCTCACCCCTGCCCATCCTGGCACCTCTTGGGGCCTGCAGCCCCGAGAACCTGTACTTGTTTTTGGGCCAACAGAACTGGGGGTCCATCTGGTAGCCAGGTCCATTAGGGCCCCTTCCTGACAGGTGGGCAGAGATGCAGAATTGGGCTCTAGGAGGGGATGGTCCTGAGTTCTAGACCCAGCTCTGCCTTTCCTTGCCAAGTCACTTACAACCTGAGCCTTCCAGGGGAGTGAGAAGACAGACCCCAGTTGGATGCTGGTTTTTTTTTTTTTTTTTTTCCCCTTCTTTCCTTTTCTGGTTGACCTGGATTTGTGGCAGACCAGGGAGGAGGCAGATGGGCTGGGGGCCTTCCTGTGCCTGGGGCTCAGTGGCAAACCTTTCTCCTTTCCCTAGATGGCCAGGTCATGGCCACAAAGGCCTCTCTGCCTTATGGGAGATGGAGGGCAAACAGGATCCGAATGATCATTCCCGGTGATGCCTGCATTCTGGTGGCGCCTCCTGGTGACGGCCATGCCTTCATCCAAAGGAACGAAGCCTTAAGGCAGAAGCCATGCAGGCAAGAGAGAGGGGGCGGCAGATGTAGGGGATGGCGGGTGGTGCTCGAGAACCCTCATATTGCCCTAAGATTGGTGGGCACCTAACCTGCCTGGGCAGAAGTACTTTGCCTAACCTGTTGCTCTGGTCCCCACCTCTCACCCTGCTGTAGAGCAGGGTGGGCTTCTGCTGAGTACATACTTACACTCACAGCCCTGTGCCCAGACAGCCAGCGTGTCCCCACGGGCGGACACTCACCCGGGATGGAAGCACATACAGATACGGAACTGGTCTGCTTGGTTCATAGCTGTCTGCCTCATGCCCAGGATAATGGCCGGCACACGATACGTGCTGTATAAATATTTGTTGATAAAATGGTATGTCCCCGGTGACTCTCACACACATGCACGGTAGCAAACCTTGTATTTGCAGCTGCAAAGATGCTGAGCCGGTTGCAGACACTGTCACAGACAACTGAGACACACCTGAGTCCAGTGGCCCCTTGGGATCTGGTGCCAGCTCTCCCCTTTTTCAAGTCCTCTGGGCAGGGTCCCAGTACCCACCAGCATCAGAACTTATCCCTGCACCAAGCAAACAGGGCGGGGACAGGTGTGGGCTCTGTCAGGGGCCAAAAAGTCCAGCAGGGAGGACGATGGCATGTATGGCCCTCAGTGGACATGGTCTGAGGTAGACAGCCCAGATGCCTGTGGCCTGAAGGAAAATGGCCCTGTTCCAGAGGACCCTGGTCTGAGGGTTGCTGCAGCCCTGCTCTCAGGAGCCTGGTCTGCAGGAAAGGCAGGACTGTTCCAGAAACCTCAGTGTGAGGGCATCTAGCTCTGTGGAGAGGGCTCTAGAACTGACCAGAGAACTCAAGTGGGCCATGATGCAGCCAGGGGCCAGGACCAGGAGGGAGCTCCCCAAGCTATGAAAAGCTGAACCCGGGCTGCTCAGAGGAAAGGATGTAGGGGAGTTCCAGGAAGTGGCCCCGTGAGGCCAGCTCCCTTTCTCAGATGGTCAGTAAGGCTCTGGTGACCTTTAACCAACTGGGATCTCTGAGCAGGCAGTACCTACCAGCCACCACACTGGCACCCTTCCTCAGGCTCAGCCTGTCCTGTGCTTACAGCCACTTAGGGGACCATGGCTCCCCTACCCCCACCCCTAGGTGGCCTCTGCTCCCAGCAAACAAGCACCAGGCTGATTCCTGGCAATTAACCCTAAGTGCTAGGGCTGCAGCTGGTTGGAAGGGTGGCCAGTGGGGGCTGACGTCATTCTCTGCAGGTCATTCCCAGACAGGAGCCCCAAGATCCACATGCTCATCTCTGCCCTGCCCCTGGTTCTTGGAGAAGTCCTCTCCCCTCACTGGGCCTAAGTTTCCCACCTATAAATGTGGGGAAACCAACACTCCTAAGTACGACTGTAATGGGGTGGGCAGGAGGTAGGAAGAGGAGCCCATGTCACCCGAGGCCCTTCCTGAGGGCCACAGAGCAATTCTCCCTCCTGAGCCTGCCTCTCCCAGCACACTCCATGCAGCTGGTGTGTGGTCCTGCCCACTTGCTGGCCTAGGTGTTCCTGCCCACTTGCTGGCCTTGGAGTCAAATTCTTGCTGTTTGGTGGCTGCCATTGGGCCTCTGGGTAGGAGATGCACAGGGCACAGGCTGGACCATGGGATCTGCAGCATGGCCTCTTCCCCTTCAAGTGCTGGGGAGGAGAGGCACGGCCTCTTCCCTTCCTCGTGCTCGGGGGGCTTGTACCTGGTCCTCCCTGCTCTGCCTCTCCTCTCCTCATATGTCTCCCACTTTCTGCTTCTTGACTCTGGGCCTCGTCCTGTCTCCCCCTTTCATCAGGTCTCTTCTGTGCTCTCCCTCTGTCTCTGTCTCTCACGGCCCCGCCCATCTCCCCGTCTCTGCCTAGGAAGCTATCTCCTTCCTTCACTGTTGCACTGATTCCCTTCCCCCGCTCCTCTGTCTTTCATCCTCTCTCCCTGACTCTCTGCTTCTCTCCTTTCCCTCTCCTTCTGCGACTCTCTGTCTCCCTTTCTCCCCTGCTCACTCCTTCTCTCCTCTCCAGGGCCTTCCAGCTCCAGGGGCACTGCCCTTCCTCCCACCGCCTCAGGGACTTGCCAGCCAGTCTGCCTTTGAGAGGAAAGTCCTTAGTTGTCCCCATCTTGCCCTACCTGTTCTCGGATCATTGGTTCAGATTATTCCCAAGAAGTTTGAGGGTTCCCCGAGTGGGGCTCCCAACATTCCTGCCTTTCTCAAACCACAGCATGGAGCGTGGCCCACAGACTGCACCTTCTGAGGTCTCCATGCCTCCATCCACTGAGGCCTGGCTGGCGGGGCTGGGGGCTCTGGGACATCCCTAAAGTGGCATGGAGTGACTGGGTGCGGGCTGGGGTGTGGGAGGCTCAGACGCCCCCTGGAGCCCTGGGCCTTCAGACTCTAGACGAATGCCGCTCTGGGGTGGGATGAGGATCCCAGGCTGGAAGGATTATGGTGCCTGCCTCCAGGGAGGGCAACGTCCACCCATCGAGTCCAGCCCTCCCACCCTGCCCCTCTGAGCGCCTGGCTCTGCCCTTGGGCACCCCCTGAGCTTTGCACACAGGGCGGAGACACATGGATTTCTCTGCCCCCTAAGTGGGGCTGGCTTGGAGGAATTTCCCAAAGCCTATTAGAGCAACAACGGCCTCCTGCCTGCCTCCTGCCTGCCTCCTTGGGCTGGGCAGGGCGGAGGGCGGAGGGAGAGAGAGGGAGGGGGAGAGGAGGAAGGAAAAAGTTGGCAGTCCGACAGCAGAGCTGTGTCTGCATCCATCGCCGGAGGAGGCCCGTGTGGTGTGGGGCGGGCCAGGAGCGAGGAGAGGCCTTCCTCTCT